TATTCTGTACTCTTGACAATATTAAACGCGTATATAAAACATTAGAGGGTATAAGTCGATAATACCCTACGCCCACGAACGAACTCGCAAATCTGACGCTATGCCATACTGCAGTTAATCCGTCCGCCAGTATGTGAAATACTGACATAGCGCCCTTGCGCCACAACGTCACTATTTCACATACGCAACGTAGAACTATGTAGAACTGTTACGTTTCGGGTCCAGCGGTATGTCAGTATTCTACATTGCGCTCGCCAAGCTATGTGAACATTTCACATAATGATTTTGTTGGCGTTTGCCGATAGACTCCACCGTCACCATTTTGTATATTAGACATTATAACAACAACAAATATATATATTGTAGTATTGTTGTAGTAGTGAGGGTATTGTTGTTATTGTGTATTTTGAGATTTTGTATATTAGATTTTATGGCGCTATGTCAGTATTTCACATACTGGCGGACGGATTAACTGCAGTATAGCGCGCTTCGGTACTAGACTGATATAAGCCGTTCAACATGAAGATACATGGGGATATAGGAAGCATATAGAAATATAAGCAAATTTAAGCTACTTGGCGGGTTTATTAGGGGGTATTATCACAACAAGCTTATTCAAAGCGTTCATATTGACATTGGAGAAGCACACAGTGGTCTATAGCATATGCCCATTTTTCTAACGGATTCTATTGCAATCTCCAGCCCCAGACACATTTTCATATTTGATTATAATATATTCATAAGCAATATGTCAAAATCAATGGAAACAGCGTGCGTCTATAATTTGTATCTACACATTTGATAATTATATAACTATTAAATGTTAATAACAATACGTCTTGAAACACTGGCTTTTCTGCTAGAGTAATTTAATTACAAGTTGTGTTGCACACAACGATGATCGTGTGCACTGCACGCAATATTAAATTCTGAGCAAAGAAAGCACGTAAACCTGGTTTAAAACATCGTTCCCGTGAGAACAAATAGAATGATGTGTTATCAAAGCTACTATTCCCAAATTTTGAAAATTGTTATTATGCATCTTGTGAAAACTATTAAACATATTGAAATTGATTGAATTTGATTTTAGAATACATATTCATATATTTATCTATATATACTAACAATATACTATTAAGAGTAAATAATCACGAATTGTGATTGGCAATTTGTTATTATTTACTCTGGATACTACTCCATATCTTATTATGTAAACATGATGATGATGATGATGATGATGACGATACCAGCAGTTGACAGAAACGACACCAGAAGAATAGCCATCATGCCCAAGATATTAACTAGCAGCGATATAGCGTAATACGACATCATTATTTTGGATTTAAGGTGTTATCGTTTTTGCTACATCTACGCTACAAAGTGGTCGCCGCTGATCGTTAATGTAAGCGCCACCTGGTGGATTTGCAAAAATTCGCATGCATTCTGTCTGTTTGTCTCATCACAACTACTCTATCATATATATATATATATATATATATATATATATATATACTGCAACATCCCAATAAGTCGATTATCTACAACGATAACGAAGTCATGCGACAGTTTGCTGCTGTCTTTCATAAGAAGTTTCTTCCGAATGCACAATAAACGACGCTCATTGTTGAATTTTATGCATTTGGGTGCGTGCGTATGTGCGTGTGCATGTGTGCGTGCTTGTGCGTGTGCGCGTGCTCGTGTGTGTGCACGTGCTACTGCGTGTGCGCGCGCGACTGTGAGCGCGCGTGTGTGTGCGCGCGCATTCATGCGAGCGTGTGTGTGCGTGTAGATGCTTGGCTCAAATCTCCAATTAGCAGCGCAACCATGTGGCCGACTCGTTTCGAACATTAATGTTCATGTAATATTTTATTTAATTGCCGCTGTCAACGCTCGCGCTGCTTTCATGGAGACTGTTTAGCGACTCTGTACTAAATACCGTGCGGTCGCCACGTGTTGACACGCTCTGTGACTTATGGGAGACTGCCAATCACAGGATATCCGCCTAAATAATTGCGTGACGTATTCTATTATAAACGTCAGGTTAGATATAACAGTCATCTATCAAGAGCACATGTCACCTTTGCTATGTTACTGCCTTTACATGCGAGAGCACTGTGCCGGCCAGACGGCTATGTGGCCGGGTGTTATTATGGTTCAGTTAACGACATTCGCCAGTGAGGCGATCCGAAAAGCAATGCCAAAAAACCAATCGGCAATCCCCGGAAAACCTGTCTCGCCACATCAGCCTCTGCATTATTGAGGTGCGTGCATTGCATTGGTGATCAGTTCTATTAATTATCTATCATCTAATTAATCATCATGAGCATAGGCGCAACCAACGCGACGCCGACACTGCGTGGCGACGGCAGCTATAATATATATATATGGCAGCAGACTTTGATGTGTATTGCGTGAACCGTCGTTTTACAATATTATTGTTTTACGGTAGGTAACTGATATCGTATACACACGAAGCATACTGCATTCACGAACGTGCGAGTTATATAAATTACATAGACCAGCGTGCGAAACTTACTTACCGAATATACGAACCTGCATGCGAGACATACTTACTGCATATACGAGCGTGCGAAACATACTTAGTGCATATACGAACGTGCGAGGTATAATAATGCATATGCGAACGTGCGAGGTACTTTGCACATACGCGAATGTGTAAGGCATACATACTGCATATGAAAACGCCGCGATGTATGGGGCATAAAGATACGTGCGCAGAGACATTAGGTCTAGATGTCTTGTCAGATTTTATAACGACGAAGGATGTATGCGCTCGTGACTATGTCAGTGTCACTAGGGGGATAATTGTCAGCGTTGAGAGGTTTAACGTGTTAATGTAAAGACGATTTAGCGCTCACCGTTCGCCTGTCGTAAACAATATAGAGTTAACGTGGTACGCGCGAAACGCATGCGAGCGTCGTTCAAATTAACGACGGTAGCGTCGTAGAAGGAGCGCATGTTCACGCGGCGTGCGGATGCAGTTAGCACTTCCGCCGGCGTTTCCGACGAAACTTCCGCGTATAAATCACGTTGGAATGCGACTGCGCAGGTGGCCCCGTCGCCTCGCCCTTCATTTTTCCTTTTAATACAAGCAAATATAAGTAACAGCGAAGCAAAAGACTAAATAATGTGAAAAACTAACGTGCAAAAAGCTATTTATATATAACACAGACATATGGGAATGTGAAATTTCGTACGTGCAATAAATGGTCTCCGATTTCGCTCACAGGAGCGTGGTCTTGAAGAATGCTTTAATTTATGTCTTTAATTTTGAAACGAGTAAGAACTATGAGAAGAAATATTACGACGATTACGCTAAAAATTTATTATTATGAAAAAAATATTACAGTAGCCGCAACAGCGCCTTTTTACAGAAACATAAATAATTGAAATGACTGCAGAACAGTAATTGGAATTGCGATCGCGTTTATTATTAATAAATATTAGTATTGTTTCAGAGACAATTTTTTTTTCTTATGATATATCGAAGCTCGAACCTATGTATTTACCTAAACGCTGTATTGCAAAATGATTCTGATAATGCACCTACTGCG